TATGTACCAAAAACCTAAAAAGTCATGTGGCTGTGATTATTTTCTAAAGTTATTCCAGTGACTTTTGGATCATGGTTTTTTTATCTATAAAATAAGGATAACAATACTTCAGAGGGTCACTGTGAGAGCTCATCTATTTTAAGTGCTTAGGACAGTGCCTATGGGCATGCTGTAAGTATTATTAATTAGTTAACTACTATGAATTGTCATTGTTGTTACACACATACATTTATTTATTTTGGAAAAATCCCCAAAGAGGAATTTATGAATAAACAGCTTTGGATATATTTTTCCAGACTGATCTCTAAAATGGCTGTGGTAATCTGCTCTCCCATAGTAGTGCCTCAGAGTGTTGGTTTTCATGAAAAGGGAGAGCTTATCATCACCCTCATCACTATTATTTTACTTCATGGCTCAGGCGGCACAGCTTTTCACAGTTTGATATCCCTGAAATCGGAATGCTTCTCACTGTCATTGTCAACCAGGTGACTGGTTTTATGGAACCTTCTGTTGACCACTGTTAAGATCAAGAAAGGGCGTCAGTGTGTCTTAACACCTATGACATTCAGTTTCATTCAAGCGATATGAGTGGGTATCATGGAATATACTGGGAGTACCAAAAAATGTACACATTTTAAGAGATGTTATCTATGTATTACTTTTCAAAGTTGAATTGAATTATAGTAGCAATGTGTAGTATGACGTTCGCTCAAAAGATGGCATTAATCAAATGAATGCTAGCGTCATTCATTGTATTACAATTTTAATACAGTTTTTTCCTGTCTTAAAATGTGTATACATTTTTGGGGTACCCTGTATACATAATGCCATTTTCAGAGACCATCTTAGATTGGGTCTGAGAAATTTACCCAAAGGACAGAGGTTTCTGGGCTGAGCTTAGAAGACGGGGGAGGAAGGATGGAGGGAGAGGACATGTCTAATAACTCTTCATCTCTCCTTATTTCTATACTTAATTCTTGTCATGTGGCTAAGGGGAATGATAATGGCCAAAATACAATAGGGTGGAAGCCCAAGCAGGCATTCATGAACATTTGCTGTTTAAAAGACTTTTGGCGATTGCATGTATCATTCTTTCTGAATGTAATACCTCTTGAAACCTCCCTGCTCTTCCAGTCCCTCCTCTTTGTATGTATAAATCCTCTATCTTTTATGTAAATATGGCCTTTAAGTCTCAGCTTAGATGTCATTTTAGCTGGGAAGCCTTTCCTGACTCACCAACACTGATTAAGTGTCATTTCTGCATTTTCCATTGTACCTAGTCCATATCCTTACCTTACTGCTTATCAGAGGTGTTTTATTGCCTAGTCACTTGATGTCTCTGCCACTAAACTGTAAACTTCTAGAAGCATGAACTCTTGTGTTCTCCTTTGAATTCTAGGCCCAGTATATAGCAGGTAGTTAGGAGTTATCAATGGAGTGAATTTCAGTACTCAGCCCATGAATGTAACCTGGGGTTATTAGCATCACTGAAAGTGATAGCTATGAGAGCTCCATGGTGAATCCGTAATCTTGAGAGGGTCCAGTGCTCTGCCAGTTGTCACTCATGGTTGTAACATGGACTATATACCTCTAATATTACTCAGTAGAATAAAATTCCTTTTATTTCAAACTTATCAGAGCTTAATAGAGCAATCTGTCCGTGCTGCCTGAGCCCCTCATTCCACTGTCTCCTGACATATCTGCAGGGATCTGGGCACATTGCATCTGATAGCCTATTTCTAGCTGTGAGCACTGTAAGCGCTGAAGCCAGAAGCTGAAAGTGAGTCATCACTCCGTTATTCACATTTGGATTTTTTTACAGTTTAATCTGAAACAAAATTGTGTTCATTTGACTTTCCCCATTAGGATATTCAAGCTATTTCTATGTTAACAACATTTTTTTTAAGTGGTTAGTGGGAGTAACCAACCCAGTCACTTTTTCTTGAGGACTGAAACACTTGCATTTTGAGATGAGAGTGAGGTGTTAAATAAAAGAAGTCAGATGATTTGAGGTCAGACTCTCTCCAAACTGTCTTTGCAAACACAGTACTTGAATTCAGGGTAATTGGTTAAGCCTGGCACTAAACATGAGGAACAAATTCTGCCTCTTGTTTAGACAGTCACCTTACCCTTGTATTTGCAGTAACCAGGGAAGAAAGCTGGCTTTTGTGCAAAAAACTGTGTAACTCACGGGCATACATTTAAAAATGGATGTGTTAAAGTGGTTAAATATGACAAATGGAAACAGGAAAGGAAGTCACAGTGATGTCTACATTCAAGCCAGACTTCTGTGTCCTACTCATTCTACTTCTTTCCTATTTGTCTGTAAATTTCTATATGTAGATCCCCGCGCCCCCCCCCCCCAGCATAGCCTGTGTTGGTGCTTAGTGCATTTGTGAGGCCCATGTATCACTGGCCTTTTAGGAAAATAAAGACCCAAGGGGACTAGCTGTCACTTCAAAGCATACCACAGTGCTTAGATATAGTCAGGAAATTAACCATGTCGGCATGATAATATTTCTTTAAAAGCCTGAAACCCTTTCTTTGATGCTGATAGTTATTAATTTCTGCTGTTAGCTTGCGTCTATCATGAGATATATGAAGGATTTTCATTTTTGTTTTTTAATCGAATCCCAAGAAAATAGAGCTGGCCTCTGCCTGACTACTCTGCTGGGAGAGAAGTTGTTGAATGGGATGTGGAAATGCGTCATGGAGGACAGGAGAAACCAGCTCTGTCCCCTCAGTGCCTCTTCCTACCACTATTCTGTTGTCAGACATATTCTGTAAAATGTATGTGTTCTAGTCCACGTGTATTACAGTGTCACCGTGGGGAAAAAATAACTCATCATGGTTTTTAAAAATCCTTTTGATATCCATGATCTTGATATCCTTATGAAGGTAATCTTATTAGCTAAATTTGTTTTTTGTGTCAATCAATCACCCATTCTACATAAGGAAAAACTGGATATTTAATTTACTATCTAAGGCTCCCGGACGTTGCGAGGGATATGGAAACTTTGGAGAGGGGTTAGCAAAGAAATTGAATAACTTTTTAAAGGGGCTCTAGTATTTAGTCTTGCAGAGAGCATGGTCAAGGATGTATTCGCATTTCAGGACTAAGATCATTTATAATATAGAGAACAGGGATGAACTGGGTTGACTATACTGTGAAGAGAACAGGAGAAAAAAAGGATCAAATTATAAGATAATGGATTTGACTTATGTGGAATGAAGATTTTTCCTTACTCTTAGGATTGATGAACTAGGGAATAAGTTACAAAGGACTATGTCATTTACTTTGATGGACCTTAAAAACAGAATAGATCCTTCTCTAACTGGGATAGCTGAGAGGATGTCAAGGAACAGACTAGGTAATTCTTTTTTTTTTTAAAGAATATATCCCAGATTGAAAGAGTCACAATTGAAAATTTTTTTTATCCATATCCATAAGCAATAAAGAAACAACTCATCTGACTAACAATTAGACCTAAATCTCATCTTGGAACTACCACCTAATCTGATTTTGTGCAAGAAAATTCTGAGTTCTTAGTTAATTGCTTTCTTGATCTGCTTTAGGTTCAATAATTCTCTCTCATTGTTTTTAATTGTGTTAAAATGTGTTTATTAAAGTACTAATGAGACCAAAGCCATACTGATTAAAAACAGAATTATTCATTTAAACCTTTGCTATTATGAAATGAGAGGTACATTCTCATATTGGAAGGTGAATCCTGCACGTGTAATGTGTTATTTGCTGAATGCCTAGTTTTTCTTTTTTCTTTTTCTTTCAGTAATTTATTCCAGATCTATTGAAGTTACAAAATTTTTATGAAATGGCACTTTTTTTTATCATAAAAGCAATTTATCCTTAGAACTCTAGGCAGGGTGCATTTTCCCTAGTGATTTTATAGCATCTAATTAATAAATAAATGCACGGCTGGCGAGGCAATACATATTAAGAGTAGGTTTTGCTTATCGTCACTCTGTATAATCTTTAGAATGTTTGAAACTGAGGTTTTTTTCCCTTCCCTGCTACACTTTCCCTACTCATTGACTAATATTGCCACTCTCTCTTTTCTTGGGCATAGCATTTTTAAACCTATCTTTCAGATGCTGTTTTCTGCCTTTATCTTACCTGGTTTCATGGGTCTATTATTTCTTTATTTGCTATCCATTTTTGGTTTCAGGTTTGTCTTATTTTAAAAATAAGTCAGCGAATTTAAACATTTTTGTCAATGTTCTTTTCTGCTTTTTCTGGTTATCTCCCAGTCACACATATTTTGATTGAAACCTTGAAAGCAGGTCAGCTGTTTCCTTTGAGAGAGCTGGGAGCAGACCTGTAGCAGGGTCAGGCCACTCCTCAGCAGCTCTGCCTGTGAGTCCCATCTTGGTTTTCATGATCATTGCCTGAGGTCAGGGACCCTCACTCATCTCCTCACCTCCTGCCTTTCTTCTTTCCTGGTGTTCCTGCCTCTCCTTCTGCCCTTTCCTCACCCTGTAGCCAGCTGACCTTCTGAGAAGGCAAATCTGCATTGTTGCTTGTTGCTAAAAATTTTTTTTACTACCAATCCCTGGTCTACAAGATGCAATCTGAACTCCTTAGCGTACGTAAAAGCCCCTGCATGAGCTGACCATGTCCATCTGCCTCGCCTGTCTCCCCTCCCCCCACAACCACTCATACCCTCCCCTAGCCAATTACCCTAGCCACATCAAGCTCAACACTCCAGGAGCAGGGTACAGGCTGGGCAAAGGCATGGGGTTGGAGAATGTAGCTATGCTTAAGCAGTGGAGTGATAGGAAGCGGCCCACTTAGTGTGAGCACCAGTGTGTGAAACATTGCCCTGGGTTGGTGCTGGAGCCCTGGTGTCCAGCTAAGGGATGGCGACAAAGGGGTCATCAAGCCATCCTCTCTGAGGGAGAGGAAAACTGGTCCTGAAGAGCTTGTCGTTACCCACACCTGTACTCTGATGCCTTCCACTGTTTTCTTTCCCCAATATCAGCCTGCGATGGGGATCACTGGGGACCTCACTGCAGCAGCCGGTGCCAGTGCAAAAACAGGGCTCTCTGCAACCCCATCACGGGGGCTTGCCACTGCGCTGCAGGCTTCCGGGGCTGGCGCTGCGAGGACCGCTGTGAGCAGGGCACCTACGGTAATGACTGCCACCAGAGATGCCAGTGCCAGAACGGTGCCACCTGCGATCACGTCACAGGGGAATGCCGCTGCCCACCAGGATACACTGGAGCCTTGTAAGTGACATCCTGCTTAGCAGTATGTTAGAGCTCACTCACCCTCTGTAGCCATGCTGCTGCCACCATCATACTCCTATGCTTCTGTGTTTATTGCTGCTTGGAGTTACTGAGAGGGCGGGAGTCTAGGCACCGATGCAGAGATCAGCAGGGATGGCCACTGGGTGCTCCTGTGGTTTGACCCTTGAACATCTGAGCCCAGCCAGAGTCGAAGGGCCAGCTTCTGGCAGGGCAAAGATAGAGAGGGCCAGGATGTTCTACTGAATGTCAATATTTTGGGGTTTTGGGGGCAGGCTTGACGTTCTGCTTTAATTCTCCCACAATCGCATTCATTTTACTCTAACTGGCAGTTAATGGTCCATTTTGTTTTGCATTGTGTGGCACATTAATTAGCTGGATGAAACGGTGTGGCTTCAGTGCGTTTGCAAAGAGGAAGGGGGGAAGATGTTGGAAATAGTCCGTGATAAAAGGTTAACGGAGTTATTTAGTGTATCGAAGCAACTACTTCACCTCCACTACTTTATTTTATGGGAAGGGCATTCTTCAGTTTTTGTCTACAGATGGTTCAACTCACTATTTTTCAGCTTTACAAAGGCATGAAAGTGATACACTTTCAGTAGAAACCATACTTCAAATTTTGAGTTTTGATCTAAGCCAGACTAGCGATATGCGGTATGGTATTCATGATTCTGGGCTGTGGCGATAAGTCACAGCTTGCAGTCAGCCATGTGATCATGAGCGTAAACATTTGATAATGCTCTACAGGGTAGTCAGTGTGTTAGATGATTTTGCCCAACTGTAAACTAATGGAAGTATTCTGAGCATGTTTAAGGTGGGCTAGGCTAAGCTATGATCTTCGGTAGGCTAGGTATATTAAATACATTTTGAACTTAAGATGTTTTCAATTTATGATGGGTTTATCAGGATGTAACCCCATTATTAAGTCCAGGAGTGCCTGCGTTAGCAAACAGAATGAGAGGCATCGTTTGCCAAAAAAAGTAGGAGGTAGAAAAATCTTATTTCCTTACTGAGAAAATTACACTTGTAAATCACACAACTAAAACTTGGGGGGAAAAATGTGGCTGATTAGGTAAATACTTCCTGCTGGCAGTGGCAGGGCTATAAAGTAGAGCTCAGGGAAAAAAATTGCATTAGCCTAGAAAGCCCTGATTTTCAGAAGAATGGATGATCATCTCAAGCTATTTAATTGCTAATATTACTTTTATGGGTTTTTGTCAAAGCCACAATTGAATAGGGTTTTGGGAAACTTGGAGCGATTTCACAGGAGAGCTAAAAATGACAATTAAAGGCTTAGAGAAGAAGGTTCCTTTGCACAATATGGGAAGAGCAGGGGGTAGAAGGAATGGAGACTGGTCAGTCTGAAGAAGAGAATGCTGAAAATTGATTATGAAAAATACATGCACAAAGCCAGTGGTGATATACAAACGTTTCAGTCTCCTTTGACATTAAAACAAAGGCACAAATAACAGTAGATTTCTAGTGTAACACATGGGCTTTATAAAAATTACATGGAAAGCTCCTGTCACCAAGGAGTGTTTGTCCATCTAGAGTCGTCCTTGGTGCTCTTGGATAGGACAGATGCTCCTCCAATTGAAATGATTCCATTAGAAAATACCCTCAAAGGGAAGAACTAGGTGACCCCTTAAAGACCCTTTCAGCTAATATGACTAATGTCTTGATGTTAATGTAATGAAATGAACACTATTGAAAAGAGAAAGCTTGTCTATTTTGGGGTCCTGGGTGTTGTTGTGTCTGTGAACCTAAGGGTTGTGTGGTTGGATAAATAATAGTGTCCTTTGTCACACGTTAATCCCTCAGCTGTGAGGATCTTTGTCCCCCTGGCAAGCATGGCCCACAGTGTGAGCAGAGATGCCCCTGCCAAAATGGAGGAGTGTGTCATCACGTTACCGGGGAATGCTCTTGCCCTCCTGGCTGGCTGGTAAGCTCCACTACTCCCTCCCAAAATCACCTGTTTTAGAGCTCTCAAGTGAAAACGCATGTGGAGGACTTAGCACAAAAGAAAGTTACACTGATGGTTAAAGCTGCCGAAGTTGGGAATATCCAACCACTTCCCAGCTGGAATCCTTCAGGCCAGAGAAAGTAGAAAGAGATTCAGTCCTGAACTTGAAGTTCACTAAGGGTCCTTACTAAGGGAAAAGATAGTAGGCCGTCTGTCCTGCATTTGCCCTCAGGATATAAAAGGGAAATGCCTCGTCTTACGCGTGACAGCCAGAGCTATTAAACACTGGACATATTTAAACAATCGTTTTCATAGTTATGTTCTGTGGATCACTATTGTTCTTCGAGAACATTATTCTCAACAGAATCATTGTTATATGAACAAGTTATCAGGTCACATAAATCCAATCTGAAGACACTTTGAAGTAAACTAAGTTTCCCAAGTATTGCAGAACTTCTCAGAGCCTTTAGCATGATACTCCAAAAGGAAGCTATAACTCACCATACTCCCCAAACTTTGACCATGATGCTCTTTCTTTACGTAGCATCCCACAGGATTAGTGTGTCAAAGCTGGCTTACTAACTAGATTTCTCTGAAATCAGGAAATACTATTGGTCCTTCTTTCTCTGAGTTGGTTTGTACGTGTGTGCTGGGTAGCAGAAGAGTGAATGACCCATGTCTCTTTCCTTCATTAATAAACACAAAATAAAAGAGCAATTTATTTCATGATCACTGTCTATCTCCATGAGCTGTAAGGAAGCAGCTCTTGAAGGGTTACAGTGACTTCTTAACTGTCAAATCCATTCTCATTCCACTCTTTCGTTCTCATTGGCTTCACTCCTCCAAAGCTTTTGACACTGTTGCTCATCCACCTCCCTTTCTTAGTCTTTCTCCTTCACTTCTCTGCTAATCTTCTCCCTTCCCTCTCTTCCTAAAGATCTCTTTTCCTAATCCCCCTCCTTCTACATACCACTTTATTACAGTAGTCCCTATGTTTCAGTTTTGTCCTTCTCTTTTCTCACTACAAATCTTCTCTGTAAATCTCATCCAGACCCATAGCTTTAACCATCACCTGCTGAGTTTCCCACATCTTGACTTGACCTCCCCTGAGCCCAGGCATGTATCTGTCACTGTCCTTTTAGACCCCCCAGCCTAGATGACCTATAGACAGGAAGCCACCATCTGCCTGGGCCATTCCCAAGCTGGAGCCTTAGGAGCCGCTGGGATGCAGTTGGTTTGGTGTTGCCCTTGTTGTAGGCATGGAACAAAGGAGAGCTGGAGTCCATTTCCCAGTGAGAATCACGGGAAGTATGGGAGAGTTCACAGAGATGTTCAGAGCACTGGGACAAGTGGAAAACAAAGATCTGCGCCAAGGTGCGAGTTAGAAATGGTAAGCAGGCGAGACAAGGTCTGATTCTGGCGGCAGAGCCTGGAGAAACTCCATGAAGTAATAAAGTCAGAGCGAGGGGGCCTTTTATTGAGTGCCTGATGGTGAGATGAACAAGGGAGCTATTGAAGGAGTACTGAGCGGGTTTAAGCAGGCCCATCAAAGACAATGTTAATAAAGCCAAACGTTATACACGCAAGTCTGTCTTCAGGCTACTCCTCTTCTACCTTTTTTTTTTTTTTTTTAAATCTTAGTTAAAACTAACATTTTTCTTTTACTGGCCCAGCGTAGAAATGCTGAATTATCTTTGACTCTTTCTCTTCCTGCATTTCTTATATTCAGCCTTTTGGCAACACTAGTCATTGCTTGGTCATTGGTAAGGGAAGGATTTTGCTGGGGTAGCAGTGTCCAGAAAACTATGTGTTCTGTGAATGAGGAGCTGTGGACTTTCTACTCCTAGCAGCACTTTGGTGTAGACATTGAATGTAGAGTTGCCTCATCTCCTCATCTCGAGATTAAAGCTTTCTTCGTCTTGGTTGGGGTCATGATGTGAGACAGTGGTAACCATAGGCTTGGAATGTGAGTCCCAGGAGGGGGTGCAGATGGCCCGCTCCACCTGCCTATAGAGCCTCTCATATACTCTGGGCCTGCTACCTTGATAGACGTTCCTTACTAAATGCTTCAGGCCCTTTTTCTCTGTGTGTAGCTGAGTTTCCAATTTATACTTCTCTTTACAACATTTATTTTTGTGCTATCATCCTAGGTGCTTTTCAAAGATGAATGTGGATTCTTATTACACATACACCCACATGTGTATTTCAACTAGTCGAAATAATGTTCTACTTAAAGCTGTTTGCTCACATTAATCCTTATTTATTCATAAACATTTCAACAGCACTTCTGAAGTTTATGTGGGACCATTATAAAATGTGAGTAGTCAGAGTAAGTCCCTGAGAGAGTAGAATTTTCGCCCGGACCCCTGCTTACCACTGATTAATCCCTAGCGCATTATTCCTTTAGTCATGTTAATATGTGGTGCTCCAATGGAGGGATTAGAGTTATTTTTACATCTGACCCCTCACCACCTTGTCAGCTAATTAAGGGTTGTGACCTTATCTGATTCTCAGAGTTTAAGCACTATGCCTGAAGCATTAATGATTCAGTTAAGCATTGATTTGAATCATCTTTCAAAGGCCTTTGGTTCCAAGAGCCTGTGGAAGAACTTTGCCTGTTTGTAGCTAGATAGAAACCAACAGAGGAGACTTAATTAGTACACCAACTGCCTTTGTGGGTAGCCAGGAGTTAGAGAAAATGTATTTTCTTATGCTATCCAGAATAAACATTTACAAAACCATCTGGTGTCTGCTAGCCTCCAATTTCAGAGTGCCCACAGTCTGCCTTTTTTTAGAGAGAAGGAGAACAAAGTGACAGCTTCCAACAATTTTTAAAATCCCTGTTACTGGGGATATGTTGTTTACTCTGACAGTCACTCTAATAAATAGATGATAAGCTACAAGCCCAGGTCATGTAGCCAAGTGAAGTAGAAAATAGTAGAGTATTTCCTAGATTTGTTGGTACAGTATCTTATTCTTTTCCACATAGGATTGGAATAAATATGACAGTGCCTGACAAGATGGACAGCCTCTAGGGTCAGGAGACATGTGCAAGTTACTCTTGATTTTTCTCTGCAGGAAATAAGCTTTCCTATTGATCTTGGCCCAGCAATGTTTGTTGAAACTGCTGAACATAAAAGTGTTTTTCTTCTGAAATAAAATATCTAGGTTCATCCTGTATTTCCTAGGCAATGTTATTGTTCATTCAGGTACACAAAATTTCTATCTTATGTTATGCTACATTCTAAGAAATAAAGCCAATGATAATGTTTTCTCTAGAACATATGGTAAAGCATTCGGATATTCCATGTGTACCAGATGTTGTCATTTATATAATGGATGCTCAATAAGTATTGTTGACATATCGTACATGTAAGACACTTAGGAGGATTTATAAATTCCTTAGGTTACCATAATACTCCAGTGTAACTCTATCTTAAACTTTAGTTTTTTAATGTGAGTACTTCTATTTCTTATGATGACTATTCTGCCATCTTTTATTGTATCTTGAGATTTAGGCTTTATTGAGTAAACAAGTCTATTTAAAATTTCTAACATTTTTAAGATGATGAACAGAGTTTCTGTGTTCTAAAATCCCCTTCATCTAATTTTCTTACAGCCCATTTTCCATATTCCTCCTTCCCTTTCTGTTTCTTCTCTTTTCTCCCTCCTCCTTTGGCCCTTTCCCTGGCTGGAGGCCCATCTAATTTTCCAAGTCTCTTTGAATGCAGGGCACAGTGTGTGGTCAGCCTTGCCCTGAGGGTCGCTTTGGAAAGAACTGTTCACAAGAATGTCAGTGCCATAATGGAGGGACGTGTGATGCCGCCACAGGCCAATGTCATTGCAGTCCAGGATATACAGGGGAACGGTAAGGGACAGTCTTGCATCTCTCTGTTTGTAATGGCGTGAAAGGAAAGCTTGAAGGGTGGAGGGAACACCTCTGCTACCATATATCTGTTACTGTTCTATAATATTCCAGAAGCATCTATAACGTATCAATGTGTTTGACAGATTCTTTCCCAACTCAATGCATATAAACTGAATCACAGAAAGTGATGATGAATTGAAGTTACACAGAAAGCATTAAAATATAATAATAAAATATCAACTATTCAGAACCCACGAGGAATATGTCATTCTAAACAGCTGAGTGTTTAGGACAGCCTCAAGCACCAAACTTTTTTCCCTGTAAACATGTTTGGATAGATTTATTTTTAATTGGAATGTGTACTTAGGTATCTTTAAGACATAAGTTGGCATAATGTTACTTTTTTATGATTTAGTATTCTATTAAGCGTATTAGTCATTTTATTGTGCTGTAATGCTAGAGCAAGATCCAGTGGGGCTTGCAGGGCTCTCTGGTCCCACATGATGAAAGAGCAAATGACTGTGCTCATGTGGTTCTTATATTCACTGTGGGCCATTTTTTGTATTAGATGGTAAAGTGTTACCCCTGAGGGCTTTGCTAACCCTAAGTCTTCTAATTTGCTCTTTCATCTGTTATATCCTGGAAGACTAGATAATCAAGCTCATTGGATGTGTGTGTAAAGTTTGAGAAAAGAGACTTGAGAGGCAGAAGAGTATAATGGCTAAAAAAGATTTTTGGAACCTGTATCCTTAGAAACAGCCTCATCTATAATGTTCAAATAATAATTGTACTTCCTTTTAGGATTATTATAAAGATTAAATAATTACATTGAAGTATTTAGAACAGTGCTGAAAGTTACTAATATTAGCTATTATTATAATTGAGTGACTTCTATGAGCTGTATAAATACTAGTGATTATCAATTTGAGTAATGTGTTGGAACTGTATAAATATTAGTTATCATTATTTTTTGGTGATATCTGTGAACTAAGAATTCCTTCAACATTTTTATTAATTTTTTTGTTTGTTTCTAACATTCTGCTCTAAATTTTTTATTTTTAATAAGATACTGTAAGATGATTTTCCCTCCCCCTTCCTAATTAGACTCTGCACTTTCTTATTTCTAAACATTTTGTAATTTTTTAAAAATCCCATTTCAGTTTCTAATTGGGTATTTCTGGATAAAGGAAAACTTGCTTTTAAATAGTTACTTTTTTATTTAGTCACTCTACCAAACTTTTTAGTTAATTCTAATGTTATTTTAAGAAAACGCTAAAATTATTTTATCATCTGCAAATAAAGATAAGTTAGTCTCTTCTTCTCAATATTTATAATGATTATTTCATTTTCTTGAATTATTGCATTAACTAAAATCTTTAAATCAATGTTGACAAAAAGAGATAAAAGTAGGAATTCCTGTCTTGTTCCTAATTTTATTGGAAATGGCTTCAGTATAGTTTCATGTTTGTTATTGTTTCTTAGTAAACTGTCTTTTTTATGCTCAAGTGGTTTTTTGTTTTTTGGTTTTTTTTGAGCCCAACTTTTATTAGGAACTTTTTTTACTAGTGTCTAATTCATGAATGGCTATTTTATCATTTGTTAATATGATTATGTATTTTTCCTTTAATTTTTGATGTTATGAATGATTGACACCTTTAGTGCATGGTTTTCGTAACATGTAATTAGGCTACGCAGAAGGTTTCTGTGACCTACATCCTGGTTTGTGGCTGTATTTTGGATCGATGAGGGTGTCAGATGAGTTCTGGATCCATGTGGCATGCACGTCTTACTCTAGGAAGATGAGTCAGGAAAGGGGAGGCACAGGACCCAGCAGAAGCCTAAAGAATAGTTTTGAGTAATATTTTAGGGCACTACAAAATTGACATATAATTGTTTTTTTGCCCTCTAGAGATTTAAATCTCAAATTCAAGGGAACACAAAAACAACAAACATTTAAGGCAAGCTTACACTCCTCGTATTTGGAATCCAGGGAAAGGGAATAACAGCTCATTTTCAGGTACATTTTAGATTTGTAGTAAGAAAGGCAAAGAGCCAGAGAAAGAGAAGGAAAATGAAGACAGAGCTTGCTTCTTGAGTTGTTCTTGTAACTACTGTTTTCCCAATGAACGGACGGCATGTTCTCTGTTTCCAATTAGGGTATGCCCATCTGGTGTACTCACCTCTCTCTCTCTCTCTCTCTCTCTCTCTCTCTCTCTCAATGTCAACAAGCTCATTTGTTACAATGAAAGGGAAAAAATGCACTGCTGTGGGGCAATTTTGTGGCAGGAGGTATGGGGAAAGGGCCCGGGGCCCCACTTTGCCATTTCCCCTATTTGGAGAACTCAGCGTAACTTGATCACTGAGGTTAGTTAGGCCAGAGGGCTGCTGCCAGGAGGAGAAGGTACCACCACAGGCCTTGCCAGCAAAGCATTCCCAGGATGTGGGAACAGCTATCCCGGACAGAGAGCAAACAGGAAAAACAAAACAGGCACCTTTTAGGCAGGCGGAGCAGCTCATGGGCTACCCAAATAATAGGCTTTGGGGTTTATGGAAAGATTGCGAGGACATTGCGATAAGGGAAGTGGTACAGCCAAGCAGGAATAAAAAGAAGAGCATTTCCAAAGCCTCAAAAAATTCTTCTGGAAGGGTTAAAAGAGTGATTTGAATGCTAATGGGTTGCCATGGAATCGCTCAGGCCTTTGATTACCCTGCTGGGGTCCATGCACATCCTTGGTGCTCTGTAAATGTGAGCTGGGTGGAGACATCTGTGGAGCAATTGTGGGCTCTGTTAAGGTGAAGCCCAAGACTGTCCTGCCACACCTGTGTCCATTACTACCCTTAAAATGAAGAAGGATGTAGGTGAAAGTAGGTAAAGTCAGAAATAATAGACAGGAATGGGGGGGTGGGGAGGATGCGGCATTGGTCTTCAATGGAGGAACGCTTTCCTGTGTCTAGGATGGTGGAAAAGTTGGCTCTTTCCTAGCGTTTTTTATATTTTCTCCAGAGCGGCAGTTCCAGATGTTTGAAAAGCAGGGGTCTCGACCCATTGATCCCAGGTTTAATGAGGAATGCGATTCTTTTAAACTAAATCACTGTTGGGTTCAATTATTCCAGTCACTCTAGGGGGGGGACATGCTGAAACGGACAAGGGAGGGAGAGGAAGCCCGTATATGCTAACTAATTTTTTTTCTATAAATTCACAATGGGATGCAATATAATAATCAAAATGGTATTAAAACACACCTGTGACCCTCATTGATTTGGGAATTGGTGTCATGTTTTGTCAGTTTATCTTTATTTAATGCTCATCCATTTTTCCCAATTCCAGGGCATTATTCAAAATCTAAAAAAAAAGTATAGAAACTCCAAATTTCTTTATTTCTACTGTGGCCAATATTTATTGCTATATCTTTATCTGCCTCTCCAACATCTTCTAAGAAAATGTATTTCCTCTTTTACTGATTCCTAAGATAGCTTTTCTTGTTCCACTCGGGGCCACAAAAGCAACATTAAGGGTATAAAATTCACTGGAAAGTGATGCTTCTTTTCAATAAAGGGCCCAAATGGGGAGATAAGATTGCTTGACAAAGACTTTTCATTCAGCTAACCAGAAATATGGAAGCTACTTCCTGATTGCGTTTATTTTCAAGATGGAAAATGTCTACTTCTAGAAAGATTCCCCACCAGTCTGGTTTCACAGACAGAAAGAGACACATCTATTATTAACAGGAGTCTCTTATAAGTGCAACACTGACCAAAAAAAGCGGGAATAAGAACCAAGCTTTATGCCCTGGCTACTTTAGTGAGTCAAATTCAAAAATGGCTTTTTGACATTTATAACACAAACTAGTAGTATATTTAATTATAGGTTAGAAAGAAAATATGGGCCAGGACCAGCTATTGTGAATTTTGTTTTCCCAGAGGAAAGGAAGTCTCTGCCAAGACACGGTAAAATACACACACTGGTTCCCTATCATTTGGTAGCTGACACTTTTCCAGGCTTCCTATCTTTATACCCAGTTCACCCACTGTAAGAGCTGTGCTTTTGACTAAGTGAAAATCATACAGTCCAATGCTTAGCATTTGGGTTTCTTTTCAAATCCCTGTAAGAGAAAGAAAGTGATATTATTTTACCTTGTCTTTTTCTTCTTTGTACTGACTTGCAAGAAAGTTTGGACAGACAGGTTGCAGAGTTGTTAGCACTAAGGTGAGCTACAAAGAGGCCAAATTATTGTATCTCAGCATTTCTTTCTGTAAAGTTTACATCTTTAAGGAGTAAACTAAGCCTGTTAAAGCTTCTTACAAGTTAAAAAATAGAGTACCTGGCCTAAAAATGGGTAGATATGTGTAACTTTTTTTTAGTTTTTAAAAAATTTTTATTGGGGAACAGCCATGGTCATTGTTACACATTACTTTCACGCTACAATGGCATAGTTGACTCTTTTAGGGAGGGCTCAGCTCACAGTGACCCATGCGGGGATTGAACCAGCAACCTTGGTGTTATCAGCACGATGCTCTGACCAACTGAGTTAACCAGTCACCCCCGCAGACTTGTGTAGCTTTAAAACACACATCTGATTTTATGCTAAATATTAGTGCATTTACTTCCAAACTTATCTAATAGTTCGTTGAGCAGTTGATTTGAAGGCTTTGCCTAGTCACAAACATACCTAAAGATGTCTAGAGTCTGTGGAACCCAATTTGCAAGAGACCCTTTTTTTTGTCTCTATCACACTAAATATATGCTAGAGCCAGGGTTAACCAGAAAAGAAAGTATCAAAGGATCCTCAAAGTTTATCCTCTAATGTGCATAGAATTCCTGTCCAACCCTGGTATTGTTAGTAACCACCCTATCATTAAAAATATGGAAAGCCGTATGGAAAAAGTTGGCTTTTCAGACACTTTGCTGTAGCTTTTTAGCATGCTTGAATTTCTTTTTGCGCTTGTTGCTTGCTTTATATTGATCTGAAAAGTGCAATGTTGACCTACATTTTAGACTTTGGGTCTGGCATGACTTGCGAGCCACACAGGGAGTGGTTGCCGAGACTCACAAAGTGTTACCCTGCTTGTGGTGAGCGATCAGCTGAATGAGACCCCGTCTCCCTCTCCCTTGGCAGAAAGTGCCATCGAGTCACCTTGCCTAGTCAGAAAGAAACTGGGCTGGCCGAGACCTAGTCCTGCTTTCCACAGAGAGATGATAGTTTTTTCCTCTCTATTACTGTATCTTCTAACAACTCAGCTTCCCACCTGATCCAGCTTGCCCCGAGCATGTCCTTTCTCTGGGATTGAGCTCTAAAGTCATTTTTTAAAAAGACATTAGTGAATTCTTGAGGTCTGATAGTTTTTCCTTGCCATTTGGTAGCCCTTCTTCCCAACAGAGGACAATACCCCATTTAACAAAAATGTTGTGTCAGGGAACTCCAAGCCTTCCTACAACCTACCAGCTCCTGCTCACCATGCTGCAATCAAGGACACCTGATTTCAATAGCTCAGACGTCCCCTGATCTAAAGAGGACTTGGTCTATTAGTTACATAACTTTCTAAATGAGGGGGTGGGATTACCATTCAGTTTTTTGGTTTTCTTTGTGCTATTTTTTATCGAACCGGCGACCCTGTTGCTCAGAGTTCACACTCTTTTTTTTTTT